TATATATATATACAGTAACCCATCATGCAGCTCTAGTGAAACGTAAATAAAGTACGATTACTGACATGTAGAAACATAAGCTCATAAAAACAAAACTTAATTATGTACTCGGTACAATTTTATTAATAGCAAATTTTAATAAATTTTATATGCCTTTAAAAATTTCTGTATTCTCTTATAACTTATTACTGATGCTACTTACTAAATCCCTACACTGTGAAAAAATGTTATGGTCAAAATTACCAGTAATTTTATCATGATGTCTTAGAGCTTGAAATAAAAACCATTTATGAGGTTAAATTTAATTTTTAGTTTTGTTTTCTCGCCGACCTGATGGCCGAGTGGTTAGCGTGCCTGACTGCGGAGCCGCCGGTCGCGGCTTCGAATCCTGCTCAGGGCATGGATTTTTCTTTCTCTCTGTGTTCTATGTCCTTTCTCCTTTGTGTGTGAATGTGACCCGCCCTATAAACGGGTTTGTGGTTGTGCGACGTGGGCGACGCTGCTCCACCGCCGTGGCTCCGCCACAGTTGCCCACTGGGTTACAAGAAGAGAGTAGCAGTTCTGGCATTTCTGTGACCAATGGGACAACCCCCAAGTGCCCGCCATTAAGAAGAAAAAAAGTTTTGTTTTTTCACTTAATACGTGGAAATAAGATATAAAATTTTGAAAATTATAATTCTCGGCAAATCGTTACCATATGAATGAAAAATAACCAAATGCCTGCTTTAAATATCATATATTTTGGTTTTATGAAGCAGAATTAGTTTGTTTTTTAATCAAAAATGTTATTACCATACTATATGGTAGAATTGCTTTCTGTGTCACAAAATTATCGAGTTAAATTAAATAGCAAATATTTTGCTTTATCTTCAACTTTTATCTCAGTTTCTTTTATGAATTGTTGTTGTTTTCCCGACAATAACAACTTATCTAATGATTGAAAATCATCCTTTTTGTTGCAATTTAAAAGTACAAGCAGCAAAAATTTCAAATTTGTGACAATGCAAATATTAATCGATTATGTTTAAATTACCTGCTCATTTACATTAAAACAACTTGAGCTTGTTTAAATTTCTTAATTTTCATCCCGCTGCCATCTTCCTTTCCTAAATTTTTCAGAATGACATAAGCGATAAAAGCAGTTTAAAAGCTTAACTCTCCAGAAACTTTGATATCAAATCATTTAGTTTCATGTAGCCTCTTTTATTGTCTTTTGGTAAAAAATTCAAAGGTAAGTAAATATTTTTATTTTAACTATTTCATTTCTATAATACCTATTACATTAGAAATACCGCATAAAATGTATATCATCACAAAGAAATTCACGGGTGAAAACATGAAAATCTCTAAATCGAATCAAACATTTTCAATTTATCCTGATTTGTTGAATTCAAATGTGTCATTTATTTTGTGTCACTTCAGGTATTTTTTCGAAGTCAAAGAAATTGTGTTCAGTTTAAAAGACTGTTTATTCTATATCAAATGAATAAAATAGATTAAAACAAACGCAAAGTCTCAATGGCACTTAGAAAAGATATGCGATGCCTATATGTTTGCGTGAGGAAGTACCAAGTATTAAAAAAACAGCTGCCAAAATAAAGTTACTTGCACTAGGAGTCGGGAAGCGGCGCCCTTATGAGGGTTCACTGATCCGCCAAACAAATATTTATGTCGCCAACGCAATCGAATCTGATTCCAACTTAAATGAGAAGTTTTAATGATATTTTTAGATAGATATTAGATTTTTAAACTCACATATTTAAATGTTCTCGGGCAGTTTTTTAGTATATTTTCAATCCAGGAAATTGTATTTGTTCAAATTCATGCTATAAAATCTTTCGATAGGGTTAATATCCCAATGATGTTTTTCTTGGAATCATTACTTGTAAATGTGCTAGTTACTAAACCAGTTGTTAAAAATTATTATGCATTTAAGTATTCTTAAAGATCTTTCATCACCCTATCTACTTAAAATTCCAATCAGAAGTTTCAGCTTTCTTAAGCTAAAATCAATCAACATTCCACTTCGTTTACCGAACTTGACACGTGGGAATATTTCCACATTCTTTAAACTCTTATAATTTCGTTGATCATGGAAACAGTTTCATTGTCTTAAACTAGCATCCCAGCTGTTGCTTAAAATTATTTCTAGAACAATAAGTTCTCAGAAGCACAGCAAGTTCAGAAGTATTACAAACTTTCTATAAACTTTTTTTGACAATGTATCCTTAACTATCTAAATTACATAATATATTATTAACATGCACAGCATTTAATTGATTAAAAATCTTTAGAGAAAGGAGATCATAGTAAACTGTTTAAAAATGTTTTAATTAAAATAAATATCTTATTTAATAAGAAATTAATATATTGTTTTAAAATATTAGACATTTAAAAAATATTTTTATGATAAAAATATATTGAAATCGTTTAGATTTACTACAATGTTTTATAAAAATTTTGTGTACAGTTATCACATCATTACTTGGTAAATAGGGCATAGTTATTGCATCTAACATTTTTCAGATTGCATATCAGGAAGAGATCAACAAATAAAAAACAAAGCGCATTAAATTTTTTTTTTGCTGATAGTGCAATATGACTGATGTTTGAATTTTAAATCATATAAATGTTAATAATAATCATTTATATTTTGTAAGTATAAAAGTTTATGCATCTAAATAACTAAAGCAACTATCTAAGTTCTGTTCATATTTTAGTATATATACGAGCAACAGCAAAGATTTTATTTTTAGCTGACCCATACTGAAATTACTAAATATTTTTAAATGAATAATTGGAAATATAAGCTCTGTTTTTTAGCATTATTAAAGAAATGATAAAAATTTCGTCAAAAAACGAAATATAAAATCAACTAACACTACGAGAGATTATTTAAAAAAAAATTAGATTTATTTTTTTTTAAAAATGAGTTAAGAAACCTTCCCTATGAATTCTAATAAAAAGCTTTAAAACCTACTTTAAAGAATAATGTAATTGAAACAAATACATAAATAATTCTTAGAATTTAATTAATCTGGTTTTTAAAGCTAAAGGCCATATTTAAGTATATAAGGTATCTCAAAAACAGCCAAAGATTTTCAAAATCAGAATGAATCAGAAGAGAAAAATTTTATTTACGTAATCTTATTTTAAGTAGCAATATGTCAAGAAGATTTGATCTAAAAGAATTCCGTTTCTTTAGTTTATCTTTCGAAGGGTATAACTCAGTTTAAATACACTATCATGCTTACAAGCTAATACTTTATATTTCACAACCGTCGTTGAACAGCCGACCCAATTTTTAGGTTTGTGACTACTATGTTCAACCCCGCAGCCTTGTAATTTTGAACCCAATCCAGAAGACAAGGAAACTCCTGGATCGAGTATTGGGAGAAATTTGTCTTCGTGGAGGACTTTTTGATAGAGCAAACCCGCATTTGCATTACATGGAGAGGAAGACCACGAGAACCTCCCATGGTTAGCCTGACCGCAAGGGGACTCTTACCCATGATCCGTCTACCATGGATATTTCACGTCAGCGCTGTGGTCAGCGCAAGCGGGATGCGGAATTCGTATCGACTGGGATTCGAACCCGGTTCACCGCATTGGAAAGCAAATTATTTATTTATTTATTTTTGCGCACTGTACGATTTGTTGTTATCTGCATAAGAAACTAAGTTTTTCTTCTGTAGTCTAAGTTCGTCAATAAATGGCACTGTTAGCTGATAAAAACTATAAAACATTGTTTTTAAACTAACCATACATACAACAACAATGGAAACGGTCTGGCATGTAGCTAAACATTGTTTTATAACGAACTTTACCCTTCAGCACGGCAGACTGTTAGCGAACTTTTGAATGTGATGAATATTAATGCATGTTAATGAATTCATCTATTAATGAAATTTAGAAATTTGGTTGAAAAAATTTTCTCTACTTAAACAGATTGCTGCAAACCATTACTTAAATCTTTCTGTTTTCCTTCAATTTACTTTTCATGTCATCTGAGTTTTTTTTTTTATCAACACCCGTAAATAATATTAAATAAAGCATTTGCTTCAGACAAGTTTTTATTGCATACGACTGAAAACTCAAATTATGACCATTATGAACTGAAATTATTTTCTCTTTTTTAGATGTTACGTTTCACAATTATTTTGGTTGTCTTAATGGGATGTGTGCATCAATTATATTCACAATCCACAGAAGCTGTGACTGCAGCCGAAATTGCAACAGAAGGTGGGAGCGTTTCAACTGAAGCTGCGACCCCAAGTCCAATGGAAATGACAACAACTGCTCCAGAAGAAGTGACAACATCTGCTCCAGAGGAAGTGACAACATCTGCTCCAGAAGAAGTGACAACCGCAGAAACAGAAACCACAACGCAAGCAGAAGAAGATGATGGGGGCTTTCTGCAGACAATTTTTGGTTACATATTTTCAGCAATCTTTTTTCCTATCACTGGTCCTTTTAATTTAATTAGAGGAGTATTCGGCTAACATGTGCTACAATTTTCACATATGACTGCAAGCAATTTAATTATAACTTTTTTATTTCTTTGAAATATGCATTATTTTTGAAAATTATTTACAGAGAAATAAAATTTTTATAAAGCGTACCTTTTTTCCCATTATTTAGCCCCTTAACGATCGATTAATTTTCAAGAAAACGGTAATAAAAGTGCCTATTTTTTTATCCCTGAAAATTATACATGTATTTGATTAGTGCTGACATCTAGTCAAAAATAAACTATCTACAATTACCTTAAAAATATCCTGGTACTGCCATCTGATGTGTAAAATGAGAAACAAAATTAGAATTAAAATGTTTCCCGGGCAAAAGAAATTAATTAGTTTGATTCCTATTGGCGCGTTACTATTGAACACTCCATTCCGGAAATATCACGGGAGCAAGAAATAGAGGGCAAAACCTCACCCCGTCATTTTCACGGGAGCGAGAATTAAGGGAGATTCATTATTTAAGTTTTGCATGACAATTTAAAAAGAAATTTATAATTTGTTCACATTAGAAAACCAAGTTTCGGTAGAATTTCTAAAACTTTTAAGATATAGAGTTGTTTCAATGTGTATAGTCAAAATATGATAAAATTTATATAACAAATAAATTTATATAATATGAAATTTCCATAGCAATATTTATTCTTTTGTATAAGCCAGTCGAAATTAAGAAAAATATTTTACAAATAAGCCTAAACTAATGTAAAAAGAGCATAAAAGAGGTCACATAAACAATCATACTATGGTTAAACATACTCTATAACAAAGAACCTTTTTCAGGGAAGGAAAATATAAGGAATTAAAAGAAAATCAACATTTAACTTAGCCATTTTCTGCTTGTTCTAACAACAAGTTACAACACGAAAAAATGGAATTGATCAATAGGTATACGGGAAAAAGCTTAATCAATCAAAGAAAACAAATTTAAAATCAAACAAAAAAAGGCAGACGAGAAACATGTATGATTAGGATGGAGTGAGAATTTCAGATGTTGCAATGTGTAGAATTTAAAAGATGATAGATGTTGCCTGCATTAACCATATTATTTGAGTTTTAAAAAATATAAAAAGATTCTCAGATGTCAAGATCGGTAAAGGAGGGGCAGTGTTGATTATTATTCTTACTATGTTGGAAGATCGTTTAGTCTCCAGATTTGATCAGATGTGTCAGGTTCTTAAGGTCAAAATTAAGGGGCATGTTCAGTTTGCCAAATATAAGCAGGACCACACTGACAAGAAATTCGGTAAAAACTACAACTATTTATGTAAGCATTAGAATTTCTAAGATTTCTGAAATCGGTAGAGCAATTAGCTTATCAATCGAATTTCACTATTTTAAAACCCTGTTGCTGACAAATAAATAACTGAGTTGTTTACCAAGTATAGTTGTTTACCTATAATAACGCGGGTGAAACATTTCATATAAATTCTGTCTTACCTACGATAGTGCTTTAAAACTTAAGGTAACGAAAAAAGGTTAGTTCTGATAAACTAGGAATAAAGCTTGAAGGTTCAAATGCTAGAAATGGATGTTTTACAAACTATCAAAATGCAAGCAAGTTATGGTAGGGTTACTTCCCATATGCATTATTCTAAGTTACCCAGCCATAATTTGTTTGTATTTTGAAAAAAATTCAGCGTTTGTTGAACAACGTGGCTTACTCTTGGTTCATCAGAACTTGCTTTTTTAGGTGCATTTAATTTTTAATTGCAAATGCAAAAAAAAAGGAGAAAAAATACGCCATGAAGCGTTTCTCTCACTTTCCCTTAAATCCTTGACATAGCATTTTAGTGCATCTACCACTACAAAAATACAATTCTCTAGTATATAAGACAGGTTAACTCGATTCTATATTGGGATACTTTTTCATAGATGAAGGTTGACATTGTCGTTAACTACTATCCTCACTTTGGTGACCTTTGGACATGATTTCAACACGTCTGCCTTGTCAGAAACTCCTACTTCGATTTGAACACGCTTACTTCGATGCATGGTCCACATTGAACAGTTGACTTGTTACTTGGGACTGTAACACTATCCACCTCCTCGCGCTGTTGCTACTCAGTTTCGATCACACACAACGTACAACGTATACACTCGACTGCTAAAGGCAACATAGGAGCGAACACGACCGTGTACATAATACAGCACTCAAAGGTACGGTGATCTTAATACAGCTCTCCCGGCTTCTCACAAATCTGTAACGAATCAACCAGTGGTATCTGTTTATCGAATTCTATCACAGCGATACTTCTGGTGGGAGAGTACTGTAGTGTGTCTACCACTAGAAAAATACAATTCCAATTCACTATATGTTAACTCAATTCTATAATGGGGTACCTTTTCATAGATGATGGATTGTCTGTAACTACCATCCCCACCACATGAAAGATGCCCCTATGTTCCAAATCAAGACGCGAAACGTCTTTGCAAGTGAGAAAATAACTCTTTGAACTAAAGTTTAATTTTCATAGATTTGAGTTTTCTCCTGCTAAAATAATTCACTACTGCTGAGTTTTCGCAATCAGAGCAAGACAGTGTATCACACTGTAGAGATGCCGGATAAAATTGAGGTAAAAAGTACCGGCATTCAGGCTGTCGGTACTTTTTACCACAAATACCATTTAACATCTGGAACATCTTACGAAACAAAAAATCTGATACACCGTAAATTATATAGTAATAATTACCCTAAAATCAATGAATAGTGTACTGTAAGAATTATGGTATAATATTTTATAGTAAAAATGAGGATTTTATGGTCGTGGATGATGCACCTGTGTTTTCATTAAGTTTTGCTTCAATTACAGCAAAATGGTGAAATAGACACATACAAGTGTAAAAGCAAAGAATAAAAAAAAATGTTTTTGATTAAAAGCATTTTGGAAATTCATTCAGCTGGAGCATTTTGGAGATAGATTGAAAAATAGCAACAGTGTTTCGAGTAATGCCCTTAAAAAAACGTTCTAACTATTTCCAACAAGGCATTTGTTGACTATCTATATCAAAGGTATATTGAGTTTCTTGGCGATTTCTTTGAATGTCAATAAAAATGCTTCCTTCATTTAAACTATTCACCGGATGTTTTGAAAGAAACTTCAATATTAAAGAAAGGCTACAGGAGTTTGTTTTATTTATTTGTAGAAAGAAGCACTATAAAAAAATAGCAACTTACAGTGTTTAAGATTAAATTATATTTTCTTTTTCTTGTTAGAATTTTCTTTATTTATTTATTTGCAATCAGTAACTTGAGTTTAGAATGTAGTGTACAAATGAATGAAAGTACAACACAACCAACGTTTTAAGTATATATTTTAACACGTTCATTGCAGGATAAGGCGTAAACGCGAGAAGAAATTTTTCCCTACATTTGTTGTCAACAACACAGATCAAGTAGGATGCATTTGAGGGGGGTGAGCTGTTATCGATAATGTCAACCTTCGTCTATGTAAAGGTACCCCAACATAGAATCGAAATATTATGTCTTATATACTAGTGAATTGGGATTGTATTTTTGTTGTGGTAGATGCACTACCGTACTCCCCCACCAGAATTACATCTATGATAGAATTCGATGAGTGGATACCACTAGTTGATTCATTGCTGTTCTGTGAGAAGCAGGGAGAGCTGTATTAAGATCACGATTGTGGTCGCTCCTATGCTGCCATTAGCACTCGAGTGAATATGTTGTACGTTGCGTGCGATCGAAACTGAGTAGCAACAGCACGAGGAGGTGGATAATGTCGCAGTTACAAGTAGCAAGTCTACTGCTCAATATGTGGACCATCCATCGAAGTAGGCGTGTTCTGATCGAAGTGAGAGTTGCTGTCAAGATAGAGAGAGAGAGAGAGGGAGGGAGGGGGGGAGAGAGAGAGAGAGAGAGAGAGAGAAATCCGGCATTGTATAGACCAGTGGTTTCCAAACTTGATGTTACTACGCCTCCCTTAAAAATATTTAATCATTTGGCGCCCCCCCTGAAGATTTCATTAAATAAAAACACAAACATTTTTAGTCTTATAAAATTTATTCATTCAAACTAATGGAAAACGATATTTTAATATTGTTTTTAATGAGATGGATGTGCTTGTCTATTAGCACAAAGTTTATCAAATCTTGGTGTTTGTGACGATATAGCTACTCGTAGCTCTTTTTCTACAACTAAACGAGCTCGATATTTGGATTTCATTGCAGCCAAGGCAGAAAATCCCGTTTCGCATAAATATGATGTTGCGAACGGCAGCAGTACTTTCAAAGCTTTGTTTGACAAAGTGTTATATTCTGTATGAAGATTCAACCAGAATTGAACCAGAGATACAGTCTGAAATTTATGTTTTAATGTAGTATCACAAGATAATTCAATCAATTTTTCTTTTTCAATACTTGTCAATCCAAATTCATCATCTTCTTCGTCGATAAATGGATTCTGTATCCACGCAAACTTTGTAAAATCAAGATCACCAAAATAATTCGAAAATTGAAGCAACAAACCATTCAAGTGTTCCACAAAGAGATTTTTGTTTGCTTCTATGTTATCTCGGGCGCATAAATTTAAACGTGGAAACATGTCAATCTTATTTTTTTGCAAATTTGATTTCCATAGCTCCACTTTTTTAATAAATGCTTTCACTTTGTCTTTTTGTATAAGCAAATGCATTTGCGGTCCTTGCATTGATTTATTAAGAACACTCAATTTTTCAAAAATGTCAACCAAATATGTAAGTTTAACGATAAAATTATCATCCCTAAACATATTGCCGTCTTCATTATGATTTTCCTCGAGAAACATAGCAATTTCTTCTTTGAGTTCAAGTACCCTTTGAATCACTTTTGCACGAGATAGCCAGCGCACTTCACAATAGTACAGAAGTGACGTGTAATTAGCTCGCATATCTTCACACAGTTTTGCGAACAACCTTGCTTTTAATGGACTGTTTTTTATGTAATTTATAACTTTCGTTACTTTTGCAAAAACATTGTTAAGTTCCTCGCTTATAGTTTTTGATACGAGAGCTGCTCTGTGGAGCATGCAGTGCTTCCAGAGAACCTCAGGTGTTTTCATTTTAACTAGTGTTTGAAGACCAGTTTTGTGTCCCGCCATTGATTGTGCACCGTCAGTACAGAGCCCAATGCAATTATTCCACATTATGTCGTTCTCATTAAAAAATCTGTCTATTATTTTGAAAATTTCATTGGATGTGGCTCTGTCAGGAATTGGTTTGCAAAATAAGATATCTTCAATTATATTAGTATCGTCAACATATCGAACATATGCAATTAAATGTGCGTCTTTAGCTACATCAGTAGCTTCATCTACTTGTATGGCGAATTTTGAAGTACGCATTCGAGAAACTAATTGGTCACAAAGATCTTCAGATATATCATCAATTCTTCTGCCAATTGTATTATCAGCAAGCGGTATTTGTCGCAGCTGATTCGCATAAGATTGGCCAAACATTGTTTTGACCATATCAATAGCTGCTGGCAAAACTAAGGTTTCTGCTATTGTGTGGGGTTTTTTACATTGCGCGATTCTGTACGACACTAGGTATGATGCTAGTAATGCATTTGATGGAATATGAACAATTTTTTTGAAATTTTGCTTGTTTTTAGATAACTCATCCAATTTTCTTTGAAAAAATTCTTGGGGCTTACCAACGTATTCAGAATGAATAGTTTCAAGGTGCCGTTTCAATTTGCCGGGTCTCATACTATCAGCAGCCAAAACTTTTGAACACAACAAACACATTGGTTTTTCCACATTATCGTTAATAATATTAGTAAATCCGAACGATAAATAGGATAAGTCGTATTTCCTTGTCTTGGGAGTTCTTCCTTCCTGTTCCTTGTGGCTTGTATTCCCACTACTTGTGCCAACATCAGAATCTTCATTATTAGTGGATTTTCGCTTATATCCTATCAAAAACTTATCCATTTGTCTGGAAATATTAGGAATAATATTATATTATTCTAAAAAAATAAAACTATTAAATATTTAAAAAAAAAATAGAGCGTGGAGTCCCTCCGCGCGGAAGAAGTGAAACATCGTAATGTGGAAATGAAAATAGGAAGGGGTAGAAATTGATTTTTAGTGAAATCATATTGTTTCTTTAAGACAAACTTTATTAGCATTGCTTACAATTTACAATTGATCGCATCTTTTAATTATCATTTTCTACGCGCATGCGTTCAAGTGCCATGCATTCACTCTCGCTCTGTCTCTTTCTATTCCCCCTCCCCACGAGCGTCGAACGTTTAACACAACAGTGCTTTCATACCCCCTCCATGGTAGCGTTAAACGTTTAACGCAACCTTGTTGAAAGTCGCATTAGAAGTTTCACTCATAAAATAAAAACCGGCAAAAATAAAAATAAAAACATAGAAAAATAAGTATCTAAAGCAGAGTATCTATGTGCATCAAAGTATTTTTTAATTGTATTTAATAAAAAAAATATACTTATTAACTTTTTAACTTTTAACTTTTTTTAACTTTTAACTTATTAACTTTGTTTCATTTTAAAATTTTTTCGCTTATTAAAAAAATATTAATAATAAAATATATTTTTTTTAAAAAATTATAACAAGGTCAGCTTATTTCTAAATGCTCTAAATTTCAGTAAGGTATTCTTGGCGAATTTTAAAAAAAATATCGCTTTGTTTTCTTTAACGCCAATACCTACTATGTTTTTCTCTCACCTCGTGCGCTCAACGAACGTAAAGAGAAATCTAGTTTCCATGACAACGGTAGCGTTAAACGTTTAACGCAACCTTGTAGGAAGTCGCATTAGAAGTTTCACTTCAATATAACTATTAAATTACTTACTATTATGATCAGTGGGCAATCACGTCAATAACAATAGAAACACAACCTAGCACTGCTGAACCAATTAAATATTAGCTGTGACACGAAACAAATTAGTGAGCTAAACGTGCGTCGATCTTTTCTGGATGTGTGGCATCCAGTGGCGTCAGTGCGCGCGCATCTGGCTTTTGTTAAGTTGTGTCGGTCGCCAAATTAGTGTCGCCAAATTAACGACGGCCTTGGTTCAAAAGATTTACCGGGGTCTAGGACGTCTAGGTATATGGATGCTAAGTTACGAAATGTTTAGTTGAACTATGCGCGATAAAGCACGATGGTATTTTTTCATTTATTCTCTCATGTTTTACATAGAAAACTTTAGCAGTAATTTGGAAAATTGTTCACTGTGACTAATTTTCGCGGCTCCCTTTAGACTAGTCCGCGCCTCCCAGTTTGGAAAACGCTGGTATAGACTGCCTAAAATTAGCCGGCAAAGTATGCAATGATTTATATTTCACACATTGCCTAGGCATTCTATAGAATGCCAAATACTATTTAGGAAAAGTATGAAATAAGCATCCTGATGAAGTTATTATATAAATGATGTGCATGTTACTGTGAATGACAGAAATCGGTGTTTGTTGACTTTCACCGGTGAATGTTGACAATCAAATAGTCGCTTTGGTGAATGTCCGAAATATTTATTACATCCGATTTTATATTAATTTATTCGTGGATATAATTACATTTATTCGATATTTTAATACTTAATGACGATAGATTACATTTATTCGATATTTTAATACTTACTGACGATAGATTAGAAGAAACATCAGTGTTTGGTGTATCGGTCAAATGTATACCGGGCAATTGCACTGAACCTTAAAAAAACATCAGTGTCGGATATACCGGGCATATGTATAACGGCAATGGCCCTTAACTAGATCTAGTATGACTAGACCTTTGGTAAATATCCGAAATATATACTAGATCTAGTTAAGTGCCACTGCCCGGTATACATTTGCCCGGCATACCCTACACTGATGTTTTTTTAAGGTTCAGTGCTATTGCCGGGTATACATTTGCCCGGTATATCCTACACTGATTTTTTTTCAAGGTCAAGTGCCACTGCCCAGTATACATTTGTCCGATACTCCAAACACTGATGTTTCTACCACTCTATCATCAATAAGTATTAAAATATCGAATAAATGTAATTATATCGACGAATAAATTAATATCAAATCAGATGTAATAAATATTTCGGACATTTACCGAAGCGACTATGTGATTGTCGACATTCACCGGTGAAAGTCAACAACCACCGATTTCGGTCATTCGCAGTAACATGCACATCATTTACATAATAACCTCATCAGGACGTTTATTTCATACTAGCCTAAATAGCATTTGGCATTCTATAGAATGCCTAGGGAAAGTATGCAATACTTCTCACATTTCATACTTTGCCTAAAAACATCCGGCATTCTATACAATGCCTAGACATTCTATACAATGCCGGCGTTTCATACTTTGCCGGTAACATATACATTTCATTCACTTGAAATTCAGTTCAGTTCGTTATACTTTTGGAAGAAGATTACAGAAATGCATTGATGATATATTGAAGTTTACAGGTTCGTCAGGGCATGAACTACTGTACTTGAACCTAGTATGTTGACTCACTTTACACGGAGGGAAATATTCTGGAAAAATTACAGTATTATATGGTAATGACTTTCTGCTAAAAGAAAACCAAAATATACGGCATCTAAATCCTTCCTTTGGTAATGTTATCGTTCATATGGTAAAAGTTTATCGGTAAATTCTGATTTTCAAAATTATATTTCTTTCTAACACACATTTAGTAACGAAACGAAAAAGAAAGGAAAAATGTAACCGAATAAATGGTTTTTATGCCATGATCTAAGGTATCGTGATAAAATTAGTGAATTTTACGACATTCACCATATTTTATCACGTTATAAATCCATATTTTTCTGTTAATTCTACCAAATTCATAATCAAAGCGCTTTGTCAAAAATATATTGCCATATATCTAAATTATTATACATTAAAATCCATATATACTATTTAGTAATAGAAACCTAAATTATTATTTTAATAATAATTTGTATTTTTTCCGGATTATTTGGTGTTTATTATTATGTAAATCAGTGATTCTCAACCTGTGGGGCGCGCCCCCCTAGGGGGGCGCGAGCACACTAGAGGGGTGGCGCTAGAATATTCAAGAGAAAATATTATTTAAAAAAAATTGATTAACTGTATGAAAGGAAGGCGCACTAACACATAGAAAGCAAAATACATTTCGACATATTTAATGACTTATTAAATTGAAACAACTTATTGAATCAAAACTTAAGGTAATGAGCCAAAGATGGCATTGCTTTGAGGATTTTTCCTAATTTCCTGGTTCAGTCTGTGTGGCTGAAATTTTTTTTGTAACATCTTACACCTATCTCTAATATATATCACGTATACTTTTAATTGTAAAATAAAATTTCATTTATTTTATAGTACAATTTCAAAATTGTAGCTTCTGCGCCTAAAGTTTCCTACAGGTTCCAAAGGTGAGCCATATATTGAAATCACTTTTTCACTTACGCAAATTATCCTTAGAAAAAACATTTAGACTGGCAAACGTCTTTTAAAAAGGCACTTTAAGTGTCTTGTTGGTAGGAACAAGTTTCCCGATTTTGAAAAAGATATTTGTTTTTTCAGAGTGTATAATTTGTTTATTGATTTTACATTGATAGTTCTTGTGTGAAGTCACTAGCGATTCTTTTAATCTTTATTACTGAGTTAATTTTTTCAAAAGGATTAACTAACAAGA